TTTTTTCTACTTTGTTCAAAAAATTTCTCATAATTATAATGGTTTCTAACAAGTGTGACATTGCCCACCTTCGTATGCTGGTCTGAAATTATTTCAAATTTGATAGGCAGTTTTGTAAAATCCACCAAAAATTGTAGAAAAATCGTATGAAAACGTGCGAGTAGTCATTTTAAAGGTATAAAACTGAAATTTATCCATGTAAATCAGTTTTGAAAAATACTTCCATTAAGAGGGTCAAAACAGTCCGAGATTGGACCAAAACTTTCCTGTCAAGGGCTGTTTTATGAGTTTAATTTATAGATCTTACAACACAACACTCATTTTTGCTATTTAAAGCATATAAATCTCAGATCTACTAGTTTAAATGTATTATATGTGATAAAAAATACTTTTCTCAAGGTTCTTATGAAGATCCAAGTGATAAACTTCAAGTTCTTAACATATTTCTAGATTAATGAAGAAATCAACACATAATCACCGAATACTTCATGGAAAACACACATAATCATGCATATACACATAGATCTACACAAATCAACTTGTATTATCCCCAAAAAACAAGTAAAAACAAAAAAACAAGGGGGTATGAACTCACCTTGGGGGTTTTTGAGATGTAGATGAAGAAGAAGAAGAAGAAGCTTGAGCCTAGCTTGTGTTCTTGGTGAAAATTTTGAAATGATGGTTGTTCTAAGGTCCATAATCATGAAAATTGGAGAGTAAGGGAAGGATTCCTAGCATAAACGTGAATCAAAACAATAGATTTTGTCATAAACTTACCAAGGGATGATGATCTAGATGAAAACCTCTTTGAAGATGCACCTAAAATCTCGAAATTTAGAGGAAGTTGTAGGAGTTCTTGAGAGCTTTCCTTAAGAGATCTTGTAAGTAAAATGAGTGTGTTGGTGATTTTTGGGCTCTATGGCCGAGATTAAGAAGGAGAGAGGGGAGGAAGGTTTTGCATGAAAGGTAATACACTTCTAGATACATGTGATCATCTAGATATATGCCATGTAATTGTGTGTTGTCACCCTTCCAATTTATCTCCTTATTTCATCATCCATTCATTTTTTTTACATATGGGCCGAAGTTTTGGGCTTGAATAAAGAAGTTGAATACTTTTGGACCCTTACTTGTCTTTACCCGAAATTATGGGGTCCAATAATTATCTTTTCGTCCCATTGGGCCCTCATAGATGTTCACAGCCCAATGTAGATCAAAGGGAGGAATTATCGGCCCAATAAGGTCCATGAGAAAGTTGTGGGTCATTCTAGGCCCATTAAAGCCCAAAATACTATATCTTAATGAATGTGAGTTCAAATAGGGTCCAACTTAAGACTCTTATCTTAAAAGAATTAAGTTAAGGGTTTATTGGCCCATTAGGTCCAATAAGGAATTCATAGTCCATAATGAATTTGAACCGGAATTTCTAGGGTTTCCAACCCTTATTTGATCATATGAGATATATTTGAATGAGAATGGAGTATAGTATTCACTTAGAGTACCAGTTATTACTCTAGGTGAATGATTGCATGAGAGTAGAATTTCCTAGCAAAAATGTTAGTTGTGACAGACATAAACATGCCTTCTTAACCGGGTATATTGAAGAAGAAGTGTACATGGATCCACCACCAGGTATCAGGTATAGTGGAAAAGTATGCAAGTTGAAAAGGGCATTGTATGAGCTGAAACAATTTCCATGTGCATGGTTCAGCCGGTTCTGAAGCTTCATGAGAAAGAGTGGTTATAAACAAAGCGATGCAGACCATACGTTTTTTGTATATAACAAGACGAGAAAGTGTCTGCCTTAATTATGTATGTTGATGATATGGTAGTCACCGAAAATTATTATGAAGAAATGGAAAAACTTCAAACCATTCTTGCAACTAAATTTGAACCGAAGGACCTTGGAAATTTAAAATATTTCTTAGGTATTGAAGTGGCTAGATAGAAATCTGGAATCACGATGCATTAACAAAAATACATACTCGACTTTTTGACTGAGACTGGTATGGTTGATTGTAAACCTATTGATGCTCCTATTTAGACAAATCATAGGTTATCAATAGTTCAAGATGAAGTTCCTTCTAACAAAGAACGATATTAGAAGTTACTTGGAAAACTAATTTACTTATCACACACAAGACCAGATATAACATATGTTGTTAGTGTGGTTAGTCGCTTCATGCATGCACCAAGTAAAGACCATATGGATGTTGTATATCGAATTCTAAGGCACCTCAAGTCCTCCCCTGGAAAAGGTTTATGTTTTGGAAAAAATCAAGACCATAAAGTTCGTGGTTACACGGATGCTGATTGGGCTGGGATAAAATGGATGGAAAATCGACTTCATGATATTTTACTTTTGTTGGAGGAAATCTTGTCACTTGGAGGAGTAAGAAGCAAAAGGTTGTTTCAAGATCAAGTAAAAAGATTGAGTTTCGAGGGATGGTACATGGCATATGTGAATTACTATGGATAAAAAGAATCTTAAGAGATTTGGGAATATCTCTAACATCTCTTATGCAGTTCTATTGTGATAATGAATCAACTGTGAAGATAGCTAACAACCTGATTCAACATGATAGGACCAAACACGTAGAAATTGATCGACACTTTATCAAGGATCAACTTGAGAAGAAAACAATGGAACTTCCTCATTTTCCATCCAAAGTTCAACTCGCTGATATGTTGACAAAAGCAGTATGTAGGAGAGTGTTACAGTGCTCTCTTAGCAAGCTAGGAATGATGGACATACATTCTCCACCTTGAGGGGGAGTGTTGACGAGAGCAATATTCAAATAGGTTGTTTGTGTATCTTATCAAGTTATGGAATATAGGTTGTATATTTGTTATTGTTGTTGTTACCTTCTTGTATATAAACATGTACCTACGATTGAATTTAATAAGAAAAATAGGAAGCTTTCTTCCTCCATATAGAATCAAATAATTATTTGCTAAAATATATCATTCACATTATTATGTTTACTTAAGTTTGTGTTAAATTTAAGTAAAGAAACAAATTTTTTTTCTCAAAATTACGAAATTGTTCATTGGATTTTGCAGTTCTTGAAATTCTGTAATTTTCTTTTGTAGTGTTGGAACTTTGGAGATTGTGTTCTATATAAAAAGTGAAAAACATACACTCCTTATATATATTGAGTTCAAATTTCAGTGTTAAAAAAATCATCAAAGGCATTCCTAAGTATTTTATTATTATTTTTTTTCTCTTAGAAGTTTCATCATTAAACAAGTGTGCTACTATGGAAAATTGGTTGGTCTAACTTTAAGCTTTGCCAACACACGGTTTGAGAACGCAACATCTTTGAAAATTAAGTAGGAAAAGTGAAGTATGTATGAAATTTATTGCAACTAACCGAACCCATCATTACCAAGATTAATTATGGAGGAAAAGTAAAGTAAAACTATTCAACGGTCCATACCAATTGGTATGTTTCGGCCAAAAAGATTTGGACTAGCACCAATAGTTCAAAAGTGTTATTTTCTTGCGAGTTTGGTCCAATTTTGTTTGAGCTTTTTTGTAAAGATAATTTTGCCCTTATTATTTAATTTTCTATTTTTGTTTTATTGAAACAATTAAAAATAAAATAAAAATAAATACTCTCTCTCTCTCTCTCTCTGTCTATATATATATATATATATATATATATATATATATATATATATATATATATGATCAAAGCTTCAGTGGTATGTGAAAAATCTGTACATATGAAAAATCGATGCTCTCTTTCTAGCTTCAATCGGAGCTCTAATGGTTGCCAATGGGTTTGCTATCAATCTTTTTGGGTTTCTTATTCTAAATTCGAAATCAAATATGATGAAGGGTTTCTTGTTATAAAGTCGAAATCAAGAGTTGAAGAACACACACACTCACATTCATGAACCCCATATTTGATTAACATACACACACACAAATCTCTCTTTTCAAATAAAACCCATAAATCCAGTCTATAATTGATTTATGTATGTGTGTATGTGTAGGTTTCCTTCTGGAAATTGATTTATGTATGTTCATCCCTAAAGTTTGTCGGATCCCCCATAAGATCCAAATCAAAAGCTTTGTTTGCCTCTCTCTGAAACCTAAATCGAAGTCAACACCCACCTCTCATCCCTCATATCCACTTCTCCTTTTACTCTGATACCGATGGAGTATGAATCGATGTCGCCATTAAAGCACTTCAAGTGGGAGTTTTTAGAGGATTTTGTTGTTATTGCAGGTTGGTTCTTTAGAGATCGACAATTGTTGAACAATGCTTTGAAGCTCTCTCAAGTAAGATTCGCACACCCTTCTCATTTCTCTAATCATTGGTTGTATATGAAAATTGAAGCCACCTATCACTTCAGATTCGGTAAATGGGTTCTTTTTTGTCATTGAAACTTTGAAGTTTTTTTGATCTGTGTTTTGTTGGAATTTCTTATTCGTCGATCATGATCTAGAATATGGGGTTTGGATTTGGATATTGAACGTTTTTTGATTTGTTTTTCATTTCAATTTCATGAACTAGATGTAGTAACTGTTGTAATAGAGTTGAAGATGGAAGAAGATGAATATGAGTTTCGAAGTTATTATGCAGATTAGAAGGAACTCGATGTAGAAGAAATTACAAAACGAAAATGGAAAATTAAATAATAAGGGAATATAGCCTTTAAAAAAAGTTCAAACTAAATTGGACAAAACTCGTAAGAAAATAAAACTTTTGGACTACCATTGTTAGTCCAAACTTTTTTGGCCCAAACATGGCAGTTTTAACATACCATAAGGACCACTCTTGCAATTTTATCTAATTTTAACAATAAGGATAACATTGACATACAACAAATGACTAACGATACCAAACTAAGAAAGCCTAGCTACCTTTAACTGATTCATTTTGCAAGTAAATTAAAGTTTACTATTGGCTTTTTCCCATTGTCGACGACCTCAATTTTGAAACAATCTCCTTCCTTCAATCCATTTGCAACACGGAATTTTTTCCAAGCTATATAATAGCGCCTCTATAGTTCCTCAACTCGACTGTCCATAACCTTTCGTCTTCTGCGTTTTTTAGGATCATTATTTTCTTATTGATTAACCCATTGAACGTGACAAATTCTTGTGGCAGATACTACAAAAAACACAATTCTTAATTAGTAAGAACTTTCACAAACTATCCCTAAGGTCGTTAAGTTTACAAGGGTTCTCAATTTGTTTTTGTAGCATATATAATTCCCGACAAAATGAGCTTCCTTCTGATAAAGATAAAAATTATATATATTTTTTCAATTACCAGATATGGTTTTTGTAGGTTGTAGGACTTCAATATGCCGATAAAGTACCGGTGGCCATCTTCTTCAATAGGAGTCAAACCTCCAATACAAAATAAACAAATAATTATGACTTAAATACATGGATGAATTTAAAGACTTGATAAACCATACATACAAAAAGAAAAAGAAAATATGTACAAGAAAAGCTGACGACAGGAGGCTTGTTCTTCTCTTTCTCGATAATCTCAAACTTGAATGCATCAGCTACCTTCAATTCATTCGCAACCAGAAAAGCTCCTAGACCGCATCCGAGATAAAAACATCTCTCATCTTTTTTGTTCAGCTGAACTTTCCATGATCGATCGTTATCGTCTACAAGAATCATATCTCCAGTTTTCAAACGACTTCGTTTCGTAAAAGTGAAGAGGAAGTTGCTGGAATAATTAGAAACGCCATAATATGTAAATGATTAAAATGAAATTATGAATATATACAAGGTATTTCGGTTTATGACCATAAGAATTAAGGGTTACATAGAAATTACAAGAAACAACTTTTTGAAGCAACAAGGCTTCAGAGTCGAAATAAAGTATGGGTAATCTTTAAGAGTCGAACTAGTTGCCTTCTTCATTGTTGAACCAGTCTCCTTCTTTACTTGAAATTTTTGGTCTTGAGATGCATAATCGTTCCTCTTGTGCTTTTTAAGGTTCTTCGGCCCTTTCACTATGCCATACAAAAAATGGAAGTCAAACTCGAAATATATATATATTTCCGTATGATATGCCAAATCATAAAACAGTAACGATAGAGAGCTTACTAATTGTACGGATCGTATCAGATACTGTGGGAGGCTCTTCTACCTCCATTTCGTCCGATATATTTGGGTATTGTCTTTCACATGTTGATTGATCAAAAACCAAAAATTCAAACATCATGCCTCCTTTATGTTTGAACACAATGAAATCGAACTCTTGAACTCCATTCTCTCTAACAAACCTCCTCCATCCGTCACCGAAGACCCCGTCATCAATGTCAACGGACCATTCATGACGCCCACGACTCAGTGTCGCTTTCGAGCATCTACCACAGTTCAGTTGCGTCAAGAAAGAACTTGGAAGAGACTGCAGGAAATGCATATATACAACTCAATGTCTACTCAGAGGAATGAAGAAGTACGTATAAATGGCTGGAAAATGAAAAGTGTAAAAGGGAGTGATGAATAAAAGTGCTTACGAGGTCAAATTTGAAGCCAGGAGTGATGAACTTGAAGAAATGAGTAGAAGGATCTGCCATGGCTGTTTTGAAGGAGTTATGCTGGGATTGCTGTAACATTTTGACTAAAAAGAGGCTATATTCATAATTAACGCAGAAAAGTGTAGACGTATATGTAGCTTTACATTTTGACTATACGTATATCTATATTTTTATTAGAATGCTCACTTCAATAAAAAATAAAAATAAATAAATAAATAAGAAAAATAAATAAATAAATAAAAACGTTCCTCAATGTAAAAGCTCTTTGACTATTTATTAGAGCTAGATCTACTTATAAAGTCTTCTGGTATGCTCATCACGAGTTATCTCGTGGTATACGTGGACCACGATCACGATCGTGCACACCATCCTGGTCAGTCATGGTTGTGGTTGGGCGTTGTGTGTTCCACGAAATCAAACGGAAAAATCTATTGGTTGATGTTTGCAACGGCTAGTTTCTTTTGCAACGGAATTTTTTTTTCTTTTTTACTTTTCAAACATATTAAACTTCTATAAATACCACACTTGTATTAAACATACTTACACAATTTCTTCTTTCTTTTCTCACAAAATCACACACTTCTTTTGCATTCTTCCAAAAACAATGGCTTCGAAAAGAATTAATTGGTCAGAAAATGAAGAAGTGAACTTAGCACGAGCATGAGCAGCGGCTTTAGAAGACCCGGTAACGTCTCCTAATTTTTGGATAAAGGTTGGAAACGTTTTTCATGATTTAATGAGTTGCCAAAATTGTAGTGTTAATGAAATATGTTCGAAGTATCGTGGTATGAGAGTTAAATGCATTAAATTCAATGGAATTTATAACTTTATTATAAACAACATACATGAAGGTGACCCGTTTGTTGTGGTTATGAACCAATATAAAGACACGAAACACATACTGTTTAAACACGTCAAAACTTGTCGAAAATTAAGAGAGTGCCCAAAATTTAGTAAGTAAAAATAAGATTTAAAAAGTACTTTTAAGTTGTTTGTGGTTGCATTTTTAAGGTTTTTTTATGTTTTTTTTAATGTTGTTTGTTTTAAATTAATATAATTTTGTTTTATTGAATAAAAACCTAGTTTAATAAAAAAAAATATGTTTTATTGTGTTTTTGAATTAAATTTAACTAAAAAATGTGTTATTGTGTTTTATTGTATTTTTGAATTAAATTTAAATAAAAAAAATGAGGTTGAGTGGTAAGTTAGTGGTAGGTATCACATGTTAGTGGTAGGAGAATGTGGTGCTGATGTAGCACCCACCACATATGTGGTATATAATGGGTATAACGGATGGTCTAATACCATTTCATATCCATCTCAACCTGACATCATATAGAAAATTATGTTTCTATATTATAACATATTAAAATATTAAAAGTAGAAAAGAAAAAAGAAAAAATAATAATACGATTGGCTCACCATTGCAAAACTGTCATAATAGCCTCAAGAAACACCATAATCCGACCCTATCTTTATATTTTATAATAGAAACATTTTTCTAAGCACCATTTGATTTGAAACTCCTTTGTCTTTTTATATTTTCAAATGATTATATTTCTAAGCATCACATTCATTTGAAATTTCTTTGTCTTTTCATATTTTCAAATGACTTTTCAAATGTCTTATAAGTAATTGATTTAGAATTTAACACCAAACGTGTTATATAAACTCTTACATGTAAGAAGGATGTCATAAGAAAATGAAAAGAAAAATTTTCAATAGGTACAATTCTTTTACAACGTATTTGCAGTGATGAAGTTCCTAAAAAAGTTCTACAACTAAAGGTTGTGGATGAATGTATCATTTTTACTCATAGTTTGATCATGTTAATTTTTTTTTCCACTAGTACAAATGAGACCATTTAAAATCATATGTTTAGAGATATTTTGTTTTCTCAAACCACACCATTCAAAATCATATGTTTAAAGATATTTTATTTTCTCAAACCTTACTGATGTGAAACCTACATAACTTTTTATATTTGTTAATTAATAACATTTATAATTTTTATAAATTTCCAATAATTTTTTGCATTCTCTTATTATATATGGAGTAATATTAGTATATTTTTCTTACAAAAAATCATCATTTGGTTGAAGATATTGTGATTCAAAAGTTTTCATATAGTTGGAGCATTCACGATCAAAATATGATAATTTAAAGAAATGGGTTATGTTACATTAATGGTAATTGTAATATGATTTTTTTTTTATTTCAACAAAAAAGAAATAAAGCTTTCTATTCTTTCTTTATATTCAGTTTCTCATTTGATCTTTATATGTGATTTGTGTGTATTTGTAACGCCCCGACCTTCAGGTAATTGACTTACATAAGAACTTTCTTGTTTTCAAGGTTTACTCAACGAGTTGGTAGCCCTACTCGTCGAGTAGCAGCGGATTGGTTTGTGTGTTTAGTGATCTACTCGACGAGTCCAAGTAGGGACTCGATGAGTATCAGCTGGCAGATGAAACCCTAAATCCCCGGGTTTTGGCACCCTATTTAAGGATCACATATTCCCCTTAGCCTCTTTTACTGCCTCTCTTGAATCCATAAAACCCTAATTCATGTTTTCCCTCTTTTGTGTGTGCTTTTTACCTTGAAAGAAGATCCTTTAGAGTTAAGAGATTGGAGTGCAAGAAGTTGGAGCTAGCGGTTGTTGTAGATTCGGATTCTTCTTGGGCTTGCCATCATTTTGAAGGTAACAAGTTGTTACCTTGATTCTCCTTTGATTAGAACCCATCATGGTTGGGTTTAGAGCCCTTTTTAGGGATTGTGGTGATTCTCTGTGTTGGGTCAAGATCTGAAGTTTAGCCTCTCTTTATCAAAAAGTTCAGTAATTGCCAAGCTATGACCCATCCCATTGCCTTAAGCCACTCCTTTTAGCTCGTTTTGAGTTATATCATCTTGCATGCACGTAAAGTTTGCAACTTTACGTGATAATCATGCCCTAGAAGCGTAGATCTGTAGTTTGGAGCCTTTGCATGACTTAAAAAGCTTTTTTATGGACGAGGGATTTAAAGTACTCGGTGAGTCATTTGAAGATGGTCACAGACTCGACGAGTTGGATGAACAACTCAGCGAGTCTGATGAAGATTGCCTTAGACTTGGCGTGCCTATAAAGCGGCTTGACGAGTCGGTTAGGGTTTTCCCAAATCGTTAGATGTGTATAAACTTGTCAAGTTGCAAGCGGGAAATCTCAAAGAGTGGTCTCAAAGCTTCGATCGCGAGTCTTACGAACTCAACGGGTCACTCTTGTGACTCAGCGAGTGGGCGAGTGATAAAGAAACTCGGTGAACAGCTTAGGGTACCCGACGAGTTAAGGTCAACATGGACTGTTGACCTTGACTTTGACCATGGGTTGACCCGTTGACTTTTGAGGACAATTTTGGAAAGATTGGAGACTTACGAGCATGGTTCGTAATAAATATATGTGGTGGTGTTCGTGTCAGTGATCTGAGAGTCTGAGCTTATTCCTGCGAGTCGGCATTGAAAGGTGAGTTATCCTCACTATACTCAAGGGTCTAAGGCACCAAGGTCGGCCCTTTGGAATGTATCTGGTTATGTTATGCTAGTATGATCTGTTAGATCGGTATCCTAGAGGGTAGGATAATATACTATGATATGTGGTATGAATTGTTAGATCGATATCCTGGTAGATAGGATGATATGATGAGCTATGTGGTAGGATCTGTTAGATTAGTATTATTTGTAGATCGTTATGTGATTATCTGTTATATGTGTACATGTCTGTTTGGCGGTTAAGGTTTATCTGCTTCGTGCGGAGGCCAATAGACCGGGGCATTCCAACCTATTGGTTGAGGGCTGGGGGTATTCCATCCCGAGGATGATTGGACCCATAGTGTGTTGGCATTCCAACCTGCTGGTTGAGGGCCGGTATTCCAACCCGATGATTGAGTGGACCCATTGTATACTGTGTTTATGATAATATGTATATTTGTGAGTATGGGTATTTTGGTGGAACTCACTAAGTTTTCGGGATTACAGTTTCAGTTTATTGTTTTAGGTACATCAGGGGATCGAGGCAAGGTAACGGCGTGATCGTACCGCTCCTTACATTTTGATATGTAATCTGGGAAAGACTCTGATAAATACTATTTTGGAAACAAATTTGTAATAACTATTGGTTTTTAAATGTTTTTCTTGGAATATCTTTATGATTCTTATTTTTCAAGAAAAACATTTTGATTATAGGTTAGTGAAGAATTGTCATCAAGTTTCTATGGTTTAATGGCATTAAATGAAGAAAGAAGATTCAGAAAATGTATAAAGGTTTTTTTGTTTGAGCAAAGTAGACGAATGTTAGTTTTTTCTTTTGATTTAAATGTATATTTATGTAACATTTTTATTTATATATTCAACCATCCAATATTCTTATTTATTTTATTGTAGTTTGTCTATTTTGATTATGTTTATTTTCTATTACGTTTTGTTGGTTTATCCTATACAACATATTTACAAGACAATATTTAAAAGATAACATATTTTTAACATTTTATATGTAATTATGATTGACTTATCATGATATGTTCTTCATATGAAAGTAATTTGTCACACCCCCAAACCCTGGATGGCAGAAACGTCCAGAGTAAATGACTTTCATTTATTGTATCATAACATAATGAATAATAGTGATCAAAGCAACACAACCATCATAATTGTAATTGGGAAAATTACATTGTATTCAATTCCCATTTACATTATGACAAAATGAGTGTGACGCTGAAACGTCCATCCTCACAACTTTGTAATTATCTTGCTTAACGATTCCGTGAGAATACAAGTAGTTTGAAAAAGTGTCAACAATTAAGTTTGTGAGATCATAAGAGTTTGTATGAAGAATTGTAAGCTTTTCCTCGTAAGATGATAGTGTTCGTTTCCGGAAAATCCAATATTTTCCTTAAAAATGAGTTGTAGTCTTAGAAACCCTAAGACCAAAATGTATAAGTATTTCTATACTTAAAATAGTAATATGCAGTTTTAATCTATATAAAACCATTTGAATGTATGTTTCCCCGTGCTAAATGTATCGATGATCTTGAAAATCAGTTGTAGTCTTAAAAACCCTAAGATCGAAATGTATAAGTATTTCTATACTTAAAATAGTAAAAATGTAGTTTTATTCTTATATAAAACCATATGAAGGTAAGTTAGCCCTGTAAACCAAATGTATTGTTAATACCCCAAGTGAGTTTTTTATAACCATGTTAATGACATAGATGGCATGTCGCGACGTTCTTCAGTCGTCGAACTATTATGACATTTGTCACCAAGACCTGTCAGTCTAACTGTAGCTAACAATTAGGTTGTGGGATCGTCAGTCGTGTATAGATCTATACACAAGTATCACGCTCTCTTACAAGAGACTTTGGTTATAAAAAAAGACTTTCATAGGTCTCTGGTAGATAAGGTGAAGACAATCTCTCACAAATTTGTACTAATAGGTTTACGTATAGCGTAATGAAAACCCTTTTGTAAGTGGAAGTATTATATTTCCATAGTAAATGCATAGTGTAAAATAATTATACCTTTAAATAATTATCTGTCCGCCCCAAAAATGTTAAAATAGTGTTAATAACCCATAAACTATACCAGATTATAGTTTATCATATATGCTTTGTTGAAATGAAAACCTTTGTATGTGTAATTATCACTTTAGTATGATAATAAAATAGTATAAAAAAATTATATATGTTTTTATATAATTATGAACCTTGTTCAAAATGTTACAATAGTGTTAATGTCCCATAAACTATATCTATTATAGTTTGTTATATATATATATATATATATATATATATATATATATATATATATATATATATATATATATATATATATATATAGAGAGAGAGAGAGAGAGAGAAAGAGAAAGAGAGAGAGAGAGAGAGAGAGAAAGAGTCTAACAGGCTTATATAATCATAAATTATAATTATTTACATTAATCACAAATAAGTGAGTCTTTAGTATGAAAATGTTCATTTTTATAGTTTTTGACTTTTTTGTCCATGTTTTTAGAAAAGTTATAGAAAAATCATCGTAAGTCGAAATTTGGATCCGTAAACTCTTAGAGCTTAGAAAATGAGTCTACTTTGTCCATAATTTTTACTCTGACCTTAAGTAGTTCCTAACCAGAGTAACAATGTTCATTTTCACAGACTGGTACAAAAATATTCTGAAATGATAGGCGGTTTTGTAAAAATCACCATAAATTGTAGAAAAATCATATGAACATGTGCGAGGAGTCTTTAAAAAGGTATAGACCTGAGCTATTTGAATATTGTATAGTTTGAAATATATTAAGTGTAAGAAGGGTAAAACAGTTCATGAATAGACCACAACATTTCTATAAAAGAATGATTTTTAAGCTTAGATATGTTTTAGTGACATAACTTGTATTTTTAGTTCGCAAAGCCTTTGAATCATCCAAATAGGATTTGTTTACTTGTATTCCCCCCCCCCCCCTAAAACTTGGAAAAAATAAAAAAATGAGGGGTATGAACTCACCTTTGGGTGTTTTGCTTAATGAAGAAAGGTTGGTGATGAAAAGTTCAAGTCAAGAACACTTTGAAAATTTGAATATTCTATGAATAGTAACATATGAAACATGTGTAAATGGATTGAAACTTGTATAGAAGTATATAGAATCACTAGTAGATTAAGAAAGGACTTACCAAAAATCGATGAGCTAACTTATGGAGGATTTTGCTTGAAGAAATTGATGAGTTCTTGATAGAATTATGGAAGAAGAAGGAGGTTGAAGATGATGAAGTAAGAGGGTAAAGGGGCCATAACTTTTCAGGGGGAGAAGAGGGTGGGTGGTGGGGTGAGTAGAGTGATTTATGAGGGGTGGTAAATGGGGGAACATGGATTTAATTAAAGGTGGTCTACTTTTAGGATTAGTAGTTAGCTAATTAAGACAAGAGTACATCCTAATTAACTAGTGATTTTTATAAAAATAAAATTCAAACCTTTATAAATCCTAGCATTTTTATAAAATGGTTGGGTTTTTATAAAGAAAATAAAGTTTAAAAGGTGTATAAAATAATTAATTTGAATTATAAAAATTCAAATTATTATAACAAACATTGTTATCATATAACAATACGTTATATGAATAGTTAGGTTAATTTCCAAGTTTGTTTCGTTAAGTTTTGGTGTTTAGATGGGAATAGATTATGTCGTATTTGGTGACGAATTCACCAAAAAGTTGTGTTTGTAGCATTTGTTATGATTTTGTCACGTAGTGTTAGTTAAGGGTGTGCATCAAACCGTACAAACCACATAAACCGCCTACACCGCACCAAACCGCACCGCATAATGCGGTTTAGATCTTTAGTGGTACGGTTTGCAGTTAGCAATTTCGATAAACCGCACTATATGGTGTGGTTTGCGGCTTTTAGTTTCAAAACTACAGTTCAAACCGCATCTCATATATATATATATATATATATATATATATATATATATATATATATATATATATGTATATATATATATATATATATATATTACATTAGCTTTTACAAAGAAATTATATTATAACTTCACCTCATGAATATATAAATTAGTTATAAGATATTGTGATATAATATGTTGAATAAGATGTATAAATATTTGATAGTATTAAGTAATAACCATAGATATATGTTAAAAAATATTACAATATAGTATTTCATTAATAAAATATAAAATTTTAATTTAGATCAAATGATTGAAAATAGTTTCAAAGTTTAACGACTAGTCAAACTACACAAACCGTACCGAAACCGCAAAAACGCCTGTAACAAACCGCACCGCAAACTGCGGTTTACACCTTTCGCAGTGCGGTTTGTGTATTCCAAAAATCTCAAACCGCGTATACGGTGCGGTCTGTGATTTTGACTGTAAACTGCACCAAACCGCACTACGAACACCCTGTTAGGTTTACAGACCCCATTAAGTTGTGTTACAATTATTATTTATTTCCAAATAATATATAGTTGAATTATTGAGTTGTTGCGTTATCAACCCTAATTAGGGATTATAGTTTATCATCAGATAAAAAAAAGTACTTTTTATTAATCCTTGTAAGTCGTACATTAGGAACATCAGGAAACATAACGTTTATCCTAAAACCCTAAACTAGTCGAGTTGACTTTGGTTGACCCAAAATTGAAAATTGTCACATAATTTATCCATATTACTACGACAATAATTATATATGATATTTACGAAAATATATATTATATGTAATTTGTTTAACATATATATGCACCTATGTATGTTATAAATTTATAATTAAAGATATTTATGTTTAATAATTGAAGGGATTAAAATGATGCATCAAAACCAATTATTTAGATGAATATAATAATAATAATAATAATAATAATAATAATAATAATACACATTTCCAAGTACCGTATCCATTTGAAACTCCCACTACAATTCAAGAGTTTTCTAATTTGTGTATATTTATTAGTTACAACTCAAGAGTTTTTAATTTACAATTATTAATTAGTAATCACTAATAATTTTTTATTTTCATTTCTTTTATAAGGTTGTAAAGTTTTGCTCATTAAAAACATTAATGTATTTCAAGAGATTTGTGATTTAAATATAAAGAGTTAATATAAATGTTATAATAGATGTTTTAGTGTTTTTATCTTATTAAAAGTTGTAGTGTTTATTTTTCATATTTTTTATTATTCGTTGTATATATATCATTTTTAATATAAATGTTATAATAGATGTTTTTATATTTTTATGTTACTAAAAGTTGTAGTTCATATGTTTGTTTATACATTTTGTTACCCGTTATATATAGATTATCATACGTCTGATATATAATTTAAACAATTTTAAACGGTTTATAAAATTATCAAATAATTGTATATATTACATTGATTTAAAAAATTAAAACTATAATATTTAATAAAACTAATATGTTAACTATATGTTTGTTTTACTATTAACATTTTGTTTCAAAATAGAAATATTAAATAATAATTTGGCAAAAGTTATTATTTGAACTATATAATTGTATTCTCGCGCAACGCGCATGGATTCGTCTAGTTATGATTAAAATATTACCAATAGTTAAGACTATGGACACTATGTTTCCAACAAGACTGAGAATAATGTCAATGATACAAGAATTTACACGTTTTTATCCCACCAAAAAGGTGGGAGACATACATAATATGATAGTCATCCTTATACTGCATTTAGGGTGCATTTGACTTAGACATAACGCCAATGATGTCAATGTGAAAAATTGACACTTTTATTGCACCCAAAAAGGTGTAGTGGGTGCAAAAATCCTGAACACATTCCTAATCTTCACTATTGTAAATAGATTTAGAAATATTTTTCAATAGAGTCATATTTAGTGTAACAAAAGGTGCAATGAATAGACTGGATCAGATCTTTAACTATAGTAGTGATGAGTAATGGATATTCTATTAAAGTAAACCTAATTTCAAATACAAATCTTGCTTTTAACCTCAACAATCACCTCTTTGATCTCCAACGTATACTTCTCCCCTTTCTCCACCCTCTGCAAAAGCTCCCTGTTGATCCCATCTTGTTCCTTCAAGGCATGTTCCACCCGATCAAGCCTAACCTTCAGATCTTTGGTGGATCGAGAAACGTATCAGCAACTTGTAAAAGACTATGATAAGTAAAATGAAGTCAAATAGGAAAGGACACAAAGATACTTACAAATTGCAAGAAAGAGATCAGCTTCCTCGGTGCCTCTTTCACTCCAAGGTTCTCTAAATCCAAAGTCTCAGCCGACTTCCTCTTCCAGGATCCTAGGGACTTGACGGTCAAATCTACTGAGGCTCTCTTTGGAGGAAGATAAGATGAGGACTTCTCCTTCTTGACCACAAGTTAGCCACTAGACATGGCGGAGTTAATATCAGCAAGGTGAACTGAGCACTAGAGCATGTAGCATTAGATCCTAAACATAACAAAGGAATTCAATAAGTTTAGGATACTTCATGAAAAATAAAAAATAGACAGATAAAGATCTTTACCTGTCGACATGGGGGTAGTAGCGGATGAACTTTCTTGAAAGTTGGGTTGGTCGAACCTGAAGGATCTTTCAGTCTCGGGCAATGCAAAGAAACTCCCAATCTTCTCATCGGTATCTTTAGTAGAATGGATGATATCCTTGAACTTGAATGCTGCATCAAAACAAATAAAATAGGGAATTGTGAATTTCAGATCCTCAACGAAATAAAATAAAATCCTACCCTTTCTAACCAAATTTCTTGACAGGAGATCACCATCGGGGATGGATTTACATTTCACAAAGAAATATTTCTCTTTCCAAGAAACATCATTTTGTTTCAACTTCAAAATAAGATTTGATTTATTTATTTTGACTTTGAGCATGAAACTAGAAATCCCAAAAGTTTGGAGATCATAAACATTGGTCAACTAAAATAATCACATGCGTAGATCCTTAGATTGATTCAATTGATCAACCTAAAATAAGATCCTCCAGATCACAACCATAGTTTGGATGGAAGCAAACCCAAGTAGGAGAGACGAAGTCAAGTTTGGCCTTAGCATCAAAAATCTTGAAAATGACGTCGGCAGGAAAAGTTTCGATCGATTTCAAGTACCCATTGTCATTATCATCAAAAGAGCAAGTCCCCTCGTAAGACATGGTCTTTTGATCAAGGAAGTCCTTTTTGGGAAAATTAAGGATACTCGAGCAAAAATGGAGTGCCTTTTTACTTATGATCATCGAACAAGAAAGATGGGAATAAAGGAACAAGAAATTTACCTTTGAGATAACCGATAATGCTTGAAAGAGAGCTAAAAGAAGTAATAGAAGATTAATAACCATTAACCCCCATTTATGCGGATTAGTAGAGGATAGAGAAGTGATTTGACAGTATAATCATATCTTTTGAACGGATAAAATTCTATATGTTAGAGTTTGAATTTCAAATCATTTATTTCTATTTAAGTAAATTATACACTTTAAGTACTTAAAATTAATTCAAATATTTTGTAGGTATAATTTGGGGGCAATTTTTAGGGCCAAGATCCTCAATCATATCCAGGATCCTTGATCTAAGGATCCTTAAGCCAATCTAGGATCTCGGATCTTAAAGGAGTCTTAAGATCCCGAACATACATCAGGATCATAAACATCGCCATTATTATTTCCTAACAAGTTTAATGGCTATATTTTGTGTTTATTTCTGACATGTGCAAAAATGGTCAACATATGACTCATTAAAAATGAAGAATCACTCCAACCATGCTTAAAATCAAGGAATACCAAGTTAAAGCACGTAGTAAATACTAGTTCAACAGGTCCCTGAAAATCTCGGACTTGTAGTTACTTAACCTATACTATATATACACTTATAAATGACACACAACAGGCATAATCTTTTGACACCTTATAGACGTAGAGCTAGGAAAACACTTGTAATTGTATTTCTATCATCATCTCTACAATTTACATTCAAATCAATAAGATCATACAAGCCAGGTGATCATTATCACCTCCCAAGGTTTGATGTTGGAGATCCTAGCAAGGATCAACGACTTTCCTTGTAAACCACTTGTGTTATTTTTTTCTCAATTGAGTACTTACATTATTCACAACACCACATCCTATCATACACCTTGATTGATTTCCACTTAGTCGATTTTTGACCAAAACAATAACTTATTATAACCTCTAGAAATATTATTTTCCTAAAATAATAATTTTCCCTAATCAAATACAAGGGTTGATTATATTTATTAATAATAAATATTTAATATGTTCCAACTTGATTAAGGTGTGACCTTATAGGTTCATATATTATTAGCAAA